GGAGAAAACCAGTATGAGGGGATTGAGGTCTACAGGCTGGGTGGAAGGTAAATGACATTTGTGAAGGGGATGATGGTATTTGTAAAGCATGAGGGATATGATAAGGAATAGATGGGAAAGAACATTCATCCACAATCAGGTACACCCAGGTTCTTGGTTGGGGATGGAGGGAATATGGATGATCGCACTTGGCATGGTCACCAGGGTATGGGACAAGTTACAGACTTTTAAGCGACTCTTGGATAGGACATGGATGATAGTATAATGTAGGTTATGCAGGGTAGTTTGATCTTAGTAGGATAATAGGTCGGCACAACATGGTGGGCCGAAGGGCCTGTACTGTCCTGTACTGTTCTGTTCTATGTTCTGTTTCTATGTTCTAAATTTGACAGGTTCACATTCCTATAGGCAGGTTGGGTGCAGGCTCGGGGAGGGGCAGTGCCTGGGGGTTCAGAGGGAAGGAAATTAGGAAAAGATCGGAATGTTCGGGGTCTCATCAACCTGAGCAGGTGGAAACTACTGCCCAAAGTGAACTCGCTGTCATCTTTCATCATAAGCGATGTACTGGAGAAGAAAATGGCTGAGACACACTGCCAATGTGACATCCCTTAGAGGGCAAGCACATTACATACATACCGATGCAGAGACTAGAAAACAGACCTGTAGGCTCCCTAACCTCTTGTGACCCCAATACATTGGCTCCCTGTGTGCTGTATGCCTCTGTACCCCACTGGCCACATCATTCACATCAACACCTTTACACACGGAGGCCAGGGAGAGAATTAGGATGTTTGACCAAGAGGGGCAGTAGTGCCGACAAAGCATATTGCTCTACATCCGTTTTGTTCATCTTGCTTCAACACAGACATGGATCTATTGAATATCTGTACGGAGATGGCTAATGCATTTGTTACATTTAAATCTGAGACAGACAAACATTTATTCAGCCAGTGATATAGGTCCAAAGCAGGCAAATGGAGATAGGCCAAGGGTCAACCATGATCTTATTGAATGGCAGAGCAGGCTCGAGGGGGCTGAATGGCCGATGAGTTAAGCATCATGCTGTCACAGTTACATTTGGAGCCACACTGAGACTTAGCATTGCAAAACCATTAACATTTATGAATATGTGAGACTTTACATACAGCGCAGTGTTATCCAGTGCAATCAAAAGGAGACAACAAGGTGCAGGGCTGGATGAACACAGCAGGCCAAGCAGCATCATAGGAGCAGAGAGGCTGACGTTTCGGGCCTAGACCCTTCATCAGAAAAGGGGGAGGGGAAGGGGGTTTTGAAATAAATAGGGAGAGAGTGGGAGGCGGATAGAAGAGGGATAGAGGAGAGGATAGGTGGAGAGGAAACAAACAGGTCGAAGAGGCGGGGATGG